AAAAAACCCTACATTGGAAGTAATATTACTTCCTTTAGTTTTTTCCTCCATCCTTTTTAAGGTTTTCCATTCAGAATTTTGGTTGGATCAAGGTAAAAAAGAAACATGTACCAGGAGATAACATTATAGGGAAAGAAATTGAAATTAAGGAATGGAAAATTGAGGATGCAGTACTGGATTGTGTTGCAGCAAATCTTAGATTGGCCATTGGAACAGTTCATGTTCAGGTTCTGAAACTGACTCCCCATGCAGTCACTCAGCTGTTTCCAGACAACTGGACAGAAACTTGTTGGAGTCTCAAGGCAAATAAGTCTCTCTCTTTTTTTTTATTTTTTAAGATTTATTTATTTATTTGAAGGCAGAGTTACAGAGGAAGGAAAGAGAAAGGGAGAGGGAGAGATTAAGGGAGAGGGAGAGGGAGAGGGAGAGAGGGAGAGAGGGAGAGAGGGAGAGAAGGAGAGAGAGAGAGAGAGAGAGAGAGAGAGCAAGAGAGAGCAAGAGAGAGCAAGAGAGTGCAAACTTCCACCTGCTGGTTTACTCCCCAAGTGCCCACAACAACTAGGGCAGGCCAGAAAGAAACCAGGAGTCAGGAATTCCATTTTATTCTTCCATGTCAGTGACAAGAACCCAGTTACTTGAGACATCATTGCTACCTCCCAGAGCCTTCATTAACACGAAGCTGGAGCCAGGAGCTAGAGGCGGGAATCAAACCCATGTACTCTGATATGGGACTTGGGTGTTTTAACTGGCATCCTTACTGCTAGGCTAGATGCCTGTCCTCCTATTACTTTTAAGAGTATCAGGGTAAAAATATTCTCAGTTGTGGGTGTTTGATGTACCAGTTAATATGCTGCTTGGGACACCCCTGTCCCATATGAGTGCCTGGGTTCAAATCTTGGATCTGCTTTTGATTTCAGCTTCATAATAATGCATATCCTGGGAGGGAGCAGGTGAGATGGCCCAAGTACTTAGGTCCCTGCCACTCACATGGGAGACTTGGATTGAGTTTCAGGCTCCTGGCTTTTGTCTGGCCCAGCCCCAGCTGTTGTGGGCATTTTGAGAGTGAACCAACAGGTGATAAGTCTCTCTCTTTCTGCCTTTCAAATAAACAACACAAAAATAATATGCTCAAAGTTTTTAAAAAATAAACCTACCTTAGTCCTGTTCACTTTATTGATTGCTCTCCTCTCTTACCCTTGATATTCTGTGATTGGGATGAGAGGTTGGAGAGATCTAAACTGGATAAACATCACTATAGCAGTAGCAAGTGACCCCTGCAAGGCCAGCGTTGTGGCACAGCAAGCTAAGCTTCCATCTGCAATGCCAGCATCCCAAATTGGAACACAAATTTATGTCCCAGCTGCCCTGATTTTGACCCAACTCCCTTCTAATGTGCCTGGGAAGGCATCGGAGGATTGTATCAAGTATTTGAGCCCCTGTTACCTATGTAGGAGACCGGTTGGATCTCTAGACTCTTGGCTTCTGCCTGAACCAGCCCCAGTAGCCATTTAGGGAGTGAATCAGCTGATGGAAGATCCCTCTTCTCTCCCCATTCATATTCTTTCTTTCTCTCTGTCTCTGTTTCTCTCTGTCTCTTTCTCTCTGTCTCTCTCCTCTCTCCCTCTCCACACTGCATTTCAAATAAATAAATAAATAAATAAATTTTTTTAAAGCAAGTGGTCCCCAGGTGACCCTAAAAGGTCTCAGAAGAAGCTTAGCTAAGATGAGAGGCTGGAAAGAGAGGGCTTGCTGAAAGCTTGAGAAGCTGTGGTAATGGTTTTGCTATGGTTTGTCCCTTGAAACTTACATTGAAATTTGATTGCCATTGTGGTAGTGCTGGGAGGTAGAGCTTTCAAGAGGCAATTAGGAGGGTTGGCATTGTGGCATAGTGGGTAAAGCCACCCCTTGTGATGCTGGCATCCCATATAGGCACTGATTCGAGTCCCAGCTGTTCCACTTCCAATCCAGCTCTCTGCTATGGCCTGGGAAAGCAGCGGAGGATGGCCCAAGTCCTTTGGCCCTTCTTCCCATGTGGGAGACCTGGAAGAAGCTCCTGGCTCCTGGCTTCAGATTGGCCCAGCTCCAGCAGTTGTGGGCATTTTGGGGATGAACCATCAGATGGAAGATCTCTCTCTCCCTCTCTCTCTGTAACTCTTTCAAATAAACAACTCTTTTAAAATTTATTTTTATTAGTTTGCATGCATTGCATAAATATAACTTTAGGAACATAGTAATAACAGCAACAACAAAAACCTCAGACTCCCAGATCACTGAGACTGGATTCTCACTTTTTAAAAAAAGAGGCATTTAGGTTCTGAGGGTGGACTTAATGCCTTTCTCATGGGAGTTAGTTCTTGCTCCAAGGACTGGGGTAGTTACCACAAGAGTGGGTGGTTATAAAGAGACCAGTCCTCATGTTGTATATTTCCCTCACGCAGCCACTTGCCTTTCTGCTTTTCTAGCAGGTTTTTGAAGCCCTTGCCAGATGTGTCCGCTTGATTCTGGGTTTCCAGCCTCCAGAATGGGAAGTTCAATAACTTTCTTTCTTTTTTTTTTAAATTTATTTTTTTATTTTTGACAGGCAGAGTGAACAGTGAGAGAGAGACAGAGAGAAAGGTCTTCCTTTTGCCGTTGGTTCACCCTCCAATGGCTGCCTCAGCCAGTGCGCTGCGGCTGGCGCATCGCGCTGATCCAGAGCCAGGTGCTTTTCCTGGTCTCCCATGGGGTGCAGGGCCCAAGGATTGGGCCATCCTCCACTGCACTCCTGGGCCATAGCAGAGAGCTGGCCTGGAAGAGGGGCAACCGGGACAGAATCTGGCGCCCCGACCGGGACTAGAACCTGGTGTGCTGGCGCCGCAAGGCGGAGGATTAGCCTATTGAGCCACGGTGCCGGCTAATAACTTTCTTTCCTTTGCAAGTTACCCAGTCTCAGGTATTCTGTTATAACAACATAAAATGAACAACATAAAAATAACCAGCTCCTTTACCCTGCAAGTTGTGTAACTGGGAAGAAGCAGAGGGGCCATGCTGCGGGCATTGGGTAAAACTGCTACCTGCAGTGCCAGCATCTCATTTAGGTGCAGGTTCAAGTCCCTGCTGCTCCACTTCTGATACAGCTCCTTGCTAATGCACCTTGGAAAGCAGCAGAGGATGGCCCAAGTGCTTGAGTTCCTGCACCCATGTGGGAAACTTGGAAGAAGCTCCTTGTTCCTGGCTTTGGATTGGCCCAGCACAGCTAGTGGGGCCATTTGGGGAGTGAACCAACAGATGGAAGATCTCTCTCTCTCTCTCTCTGTCTTTCCCTCCTTCTCTTTCTCTCTGTAACTCTGCCTTTCAAATAAATACATAAATACACCTTTTTAAAAAAGCAGGGAGGTTACCTGCCTCTCCTCTCACCCCATCCCTTAGAATAGTTGTATGTTCATGCAGGCAGCTAGTGACTGTGCAGTTGGCAGTGTCGGGTCCACCCAAGGACCATGAGCTCCATCTGTGCTTGTGAGCACCTCCAGAAGTTGGCTTTTCAGGAAGAATTTAGCCAGTAGAAGACTATGTAGCAGCTCAAGGCAGGCTCTGGCTGTATTGGAAAAACTCTTCCCTATCCCCCTTCTCTAGCTGCATGTTCTTCTTCTGTGTGAAACTGGCAAAGGAAGACTACTAGGAGTTGAAAGGGAGATTCCTTGCCTCAGAAAGTCCCTGCGGAATCTTTGGGAAAGTTATGTGGAGCTAACCAGCAAGGGCTACTGTTTGGGAGGATGAGGACAGCAGTGATCTCAGTTTTTGTCTCATATCAAAGAAGAATATCCCCATGGAGAGGAATGGTGAGCAAAATAAGATTTATTGAACTAAGAAATCTCCTGTCACAACAGTCAGGAGGGGTGCTCCAAGGGAGGAGTTGCCAGTAAAAACCTGTAGGGATTGCCCTTTTTATGTACAGAGTGGCTCTCTCTGATTAGTCCCTTTCTGAAAATCAAACCTAGATTTTACCAATCAGGGGAGGAGCAGAATAACAGCTAACCAGAAGGCAGGGATTATAATCCTGTCTAGCTTTGGTAAAGCTAAGTACAGTTAACTGACCTCACTGCCTTCCAACGGGCCTAATTCCCTTTTAACTGGCCTAATTGTCCATTAGCCCATCTAATTCCTTCAGCAAGGGCTACCAAATGGTTAGTAAGGGACAATGAATGTGCACTCTTTAATGGGGGTCTCTGCAGCTAATGATGCTTTGGGTTGCGTATTAGTAGGCAATTAGAATTGGGAGCCTGAGTCCAATGAGAAAGACTAGAGAGAGCCAGGGGGACAAAGCATGCTGCTTGGGGCTGCTGACAAAGGTTAGGACAGTAAGGAAGAAGCACTATCCAGGAAACTCTTCTATTCTATATGTTTCAGCTTGGAACTGTGGGGAGGCTCAGAAGGGACCTTGTAGGAAGAGTCATTGCTTTATGGTTCATGTTGCAACTCCAAGATTTTAATGGAAAAGTACTTGGAAATATTCAGTGAAATGCGGGTTGTAGCAAGGACCCTCTGCACCATCAGCAGGATCTCTGAATGTAAGCATTCTTTCTTCCCATCCCCACAGGGCTTTCTTGTTCTTTATTGTGCACATCTACATTGACAAAGGAGATTTTAAAAATGTTTTTGTTCTTTATAAAAACCACTTTCCTTATTCCCCCCATCCCATAAAGTGGAACTAAATGCTCACTTTGGATTTTGGCACCACAATGGTTTACTCTGTTTTTTTTTAAAAAATTGTGTCCAATGATTAAGAATAGTTTGTGCAAATACGTAAACAAATTTCAACATGACATTGTTAATTCCCCCGTGTGATTGAAAATCATGCCTTCAAATGTTCTAGGGCATGAAGAAGTTGGTGTGTAAAGCCATAGAAGGGCCATAGGGAGCAAAGGAATCCATGGGTTTCCTGGGCCCAGATGGCCATCATGTGCAGCATCTTCCAATCCCATAGAAAGGAAACACAGTGACCCATCAGAGTATTTGTCATTATATACCTTTATTTTTCCCTGTTGGCTATTTACAAAATTTTATTTCAGCATGTTTTTCAGAAGCATAATTTTGCTTCTTCATATAGTTTCTTGAAGTCAGGGCCAGTCAAGGTCATGTTCATGCAAAAATGTACATTTAATGAGGACAAAGAGAGAGGCCCCAGTCATCTCACAAAACTTTGCTGCTCTGTGTCTTCTTGTGGATAAAACCTCCCAGGACAACTAATCTTGGGCCTCTTCTTTTCTTGATTTTCACTGCTTGGATCAGCACCATTCTTCAAGACCTACATGTGTAATTTTACTCATTTCAAATGCTTTCAGGATATTCCTGACTTAGCTGCCCTTGAAAGCATCCCCTGAAACTGCCTAATGTCAGGAAGTTTAGGTGCCCTAAACTCAGGCACCGCTAGCTCTGCTGATGACTACTGACCCTAGGGATGCAGTCTGGCAAGATGGTAGGTGCAAATGCTCACACCAGTTGAGTCAACAGAAGTGACCCTGACCAAATGCTTTATTTTATAATTTAAATATATCAAGAAGATATTTTGACATCCTTCCCCTCCCTCCCCTGAAAACCCAACACTGATAATATAGACTTCATATTGTTCACAGGATACTATACAGCAAACACAAACATAACTGCACTTTCAGTAGGACAAGTCACGATTTCCTTTTATGCCGAGCTGTGGAATAGCTAGAAGTTACTGCTCATCACCACGGCAGGGTGCCATGCAGGTGCATAGCTTAGTAAATGCATTCAGTGGTTAATAGATCAAAGGGTTAGCTTTTGTATATACAGAATAAGGAAGCCTCATTAGGAATGCCCACAGTCTCAGCAACAGTTAGCTCCAAATATGCAAAGATGTTGTAGCTTTGCTATTAACAAGATGACATAAATCTCAAGAATATATCTTTCAAGCTCCATTGAGAACCAATAGATTGTTACATCTGCAAAGGCACCCCACAGTGGCAGATGGAATAGGCAACAAATTCCTAGGAAACGTGTCACATATCCCCATAACAAAACAACACTTGGGAATGAGACTTGGGGTATCTTTCCCATGGTAGGGATTCTAGAGGAAAAGTTAGTGGGAGGGAAGGAAATGGAAGGTTGGTAGAGGGGTATAGTTGGGGTGCTCCATTCCAGACTCAGCAAGGCCATTTCCTCTTCCCAAGCTCCAAATTACTAAGTGCGTTTTCATTGGCTGAACCCAGGATCACCTGGATGGTTGCTATGCACTTCCAGTTACTTGATGTGAAGTATGAGTGGTAAGAAAAGATAGGCAGCCAGCTGGAGGGAGTATGCTTGCAATGCTGGACAGCTGAAAATGGGGCTGAACATCACCAATGACAGACCACGTAGAGACATGAAAAGGGAAGATCTGGCAAATTTCAGGTTAAAATGCCCATATCCATGGGAAACCCAGAAGGTTCAAATTTCTGAAAAGGTGTAATTGCCAAACCTTCTCTTTACCTTGACACTTAACCTCACAGAGTATGGGTCGTAGTTGAATTCAACTGCTATCATTGCAGCACATTAGGGCAAGAATAATATATCTAGCTATATGGATCTATAGAGATATTTACAACTGGCCTCTCTGCCCTTCCTCTGTGCTGTGAAGCCTTCCTGTGCACTGCTGTTGGATGCATCTTGAAAACCTTTTGTTCACACTGTTCCAACTTCCCTTTATGGTTTCATCCCCTACTAGAATTAAAGCCCCTCCAAGAGCCAAATCTAAATCAACCCACCAACTTTTAGTCTCCAAGAAGGCTGCCTTTCAATAACCACAATGAAAGCTTCATATGTGTAGTTACTGTTTTCTCCTTGTCTTAGATCTTTGAATGGGGTGTCCAGAAATAAATAAAATGTATGTATGTGTGTGTGTGTGTAATTGTGCCAGTGACTATGTGTGACCATATGTCATTGTGTGTGCATGTCTGGGTGTGTTTATATATTTGATGAGGGTGAATGCCCCCTGTTCATGTATACATGTGACAGTGTGAGTCTACGTTGGCGTGGATACATGACAGGTGATATGTATGTTGTGTGTGTAGAAGAGACAAACTGGATCCTAGTAGGTAGTTAGTTCCCGGGGCTCCTTTGTACTTCTCTCTTATCTATCTTTTTTCCTGGTTGGGGGAGGAAATATAGTGTTCTGGGACTTCAAATCCGAGGTGGAAATTGAGGCTGATTGCTGGAGTCCAGTAGCCAACAACCATCCCAGAATGGGATACTAAAGTGCTTCTTGTCCCTGAGTGGGCACACAGTGCATGTCTGCAGCCATCCCACACTTCTTTGGTTCTTAGCATGCAGCAGCTGGCAGTCAATCCCCTGAGCATTCTTTCACATCACCCACTTGCCTGCAGCTGCCAGCACCTCATATGTGTGTGTCAGGCTCACAAGGTGATTAGAATTAAAGGAAGAGTTATAAAGACCATAAGCCACCTCCTCTCGAGTTCTCAAGCCCTCCTGCCCCATTGTCTACACTATATTTCAATTCCAAATGTATCTTGCAGGCTCTCTCTCCAGCCTGGAACTCCCGAATACGTCCTTCTAGGACCAAGTGAAATAGACTTTGCTCACAGCTTATTCCATGATCAAGTATTTCCTTCCCCAGGCACTTCCTACCTCAAGGCACTACATTACCACTTTTTAGGACTACATTCACTTCCTCTGAGTTTTCTATCCAGGAGATAGTACAGATGCATGGAAGGGGGGATGAAGAGTAGATGGGGGCCACAAGGAGACACTGCTCCCTGGGATAGGGAATTTGAAAGAAACAGTCAGTGGACTAGCCCAGCCAAATAGGGCCTCCCTTATTTGCGAACAGGCCGAAGAAATTCTGGTGGTTTTAGGAGGGCCACCAACAGGTAATACATATGCTTTCAGGCATGTTTCCTTTCATACCCATTCAAATCAGATAAACACAGATATGTAGAAATGTACTTATTATATACATGCACACAATTTGCACCCATGTGTGTACACACACATATAAGAGACATTTTCACATAAGTGCACATACATTGTGTGTGTGTGTGTGTGTGTTACACTGATAAACAGTGTTATACGGCTTCTCAAATAGCTGTGTGTGCACACAGACCTACCTTGATGCATGCACGTACACACACCTAGGTACATACAGAAACACAAACACAGAAGCACAGTTAAAAGTATGAGTGCACAGAGGGGTGAGGGCCTGTAGGACAGGCTGCCTAGGGAGGAAGGGGGAACACAGGTTGAGTGCTTGACAAAGCTCATTCCTGCACGGCCTCCATTGATAAGGTGGAGCTGCTTGGCAAGCTGGAGTTCAGGCCAATCCTACTGTGAGGACCCCTGGTCGGTGGGCAGTGCCCATGTTTTCCATCTGCTCTGTTTGTGCTTATTGGCTAGTTACTGGTCTTCTTCTTTTTTTTATTTTTTAAAAAGATTTTGCTTATTTATTTGAGAGATAGAGTCACAGAGAGAGGGAAAGACAGAGAGAAAGGTCTTCTATTTGCTGGTTCACTCTCCAAATGACCACAACAACCAGAGTTGGCTCAATCCAAAGCCAGGTGCCAGGAGCCTCCTCCAGATCTCCCACGCGGGTGCAGGGGCCCAAGGACTTCTGCCATCCTCCATTGCTTTCCCAGGCCACAGCAGAGAGCTGGATCAGAAGAGGAGTAGCCGGGACATGAACTGGCCCCCATATGGGATGCCAGTGCCAAAGGCAGTGCCACAGTGCCAGCCCCTAGTTACCGGTCTTGTTCAGAGATGCTCCTCATGCTGTAGAATGATGTTGGGAGTCTGAAAGCTAGGTATAATCTGCCAGAGCACCCCCTTATGCTAAGGGGAAAAAGAAAGGGAAATGCCTCAGTTGAGAGAATTAGGACAAGGGGGAGGAAGAGCAAGTGGGGTGGCTCTATCACTCATTGACTGCATGCCCACAAGCCTGGCACACGAGCTTCATTTTCCCCCTTGGAACACTGGGGACAATGTGCTTTGCCTTCCTGGCTCACTGGGTTCCTGTAAAGGCCCAACAAGGTGATGGGTTGATGATCTCGTTAATACTTACTATGCACTAGACAAAGAAAGATAAGTATATAGATTCACAATAATTGTTCAACCGCTATTCTAGATCAGATGGTGAAACGGCAAGTCTGAACTTTCCTAATCTGATGTTTATTCAAGTGCTTACTCTGTGACTAAGTGATTAACTCAGCAACTGAAAAGAAAGCTAACTTTTGACTTAGACAGAAGTACTGAGTCCCTATTATCAAGCACACTAAAGCAGAAATATACGCCAGAGAAGCTCCAATCCCTCCAAAGAAGCCAGCTCAGCCTGTGTAGTCTCCAATCCTACACCACCCCATGCCATTCCTGCAAGCTCCTACTGGAGACCTGCTCTTTTACTTACCTTACTTTATACCTTCTACACGCCCCAATTTCCCACCCAATCCTGCACAACACCACACTTAGAATTCCACACAAATTGTGGGGGGAAAGGCATCTATAAATGTTTCCCAACTTTCCTATAGACAGTACCCTGTACTTCCCTATGCACCTCAACCCAGCCCAGCTTGACTTTCTCCCATAAAGCCCTAAGCAGAGTGTGAACAGCATCCACAATTCCTCGGAGGGAAAAAGGGAAGAAAACAAAGTAATGAAAAAGAAATCCAGACACCTCTAAGGCACAGAAAATCCCCCAGAAAGGTTTGTGGTCAAGGCTTGGATCTTCCTTGGTTCTCCAAGCTAGCTCCTCTCTGATAAACAGTCCCAGAGGCTTTTCTATGCCCAGAAGCCTTCGAAAAGGTGAGTGTCTTCTAGAAGGAAAAGAAATCAATGTGTTATTTACCCCTCAACTCCTCCTCAACCCCTTCCCTTCTAACCAGAATGTTTTTCCCACTACTTCACATCTCATGTTTATGAACAGAAGTGTTGAACTGGTTGGATTATCCAAACAAACACAAACTAAAATGAACAAAGCAAAAGGGGGAAAACAGAATCAAACGGTACCATGAAAGGAGGGCAGCACAGTTTCCCTGTTGCCCTGGGGCCCTGGAGGATTAATAGATATGATATAACCAGTAAACAACATTGAATAACCCAAAGGAAAGAGGGAAGAGTAATCGGGACCACCTGTCGACCTTAGGGACATAGGCAGGGTTAAAGAGCTGGAAGGAGAAGGCTTCAGTGAAGGAACACCCAGGGCTTGGGGGGCGACTATCCTCAGACTCTGAGCTACTGTTCTCCTGGCCACAGGTTACGAGCTCATCTTTAATGCTCTGGACACCATCAGCATTATAATTCAGTTGCTCCTCAAAACCATGGAAGTTGCTCTCAACATCAATGTCATCATGTAAATTGTCGATGTCATCAAGGACCCAGCTTGCTTCTGGAGCATACCTCTGGCTATGGTGCATGACAGGCCTCCCTCTGGGGTCTTGGCCATGGCTCTCATCTGAGCTCAAGCTCTCTTCAGAATCTTCATCATCCTGGGTTTCAGCACAGCCCTGGGCCTCAGCATGGTTGTGGATTTTGGTAGGAGTACCACAGCCATCAGGGTGAGAGGCATTAAAGTGAACACCACAGCTGTCCCGGGCCTGTTCTGAGGTGGAGGGGAGATCACTCAGGCTTTCACCAGTGGCCAACTGGGCCCAGCCTGAGAGAGAAGACAGTGGGCTGAGGCTTTCCAAGGTGGCCAGCTGGGCCTGCTCTGAGGTGGACGCCAAAGAGCTGAGGCTTTCTGGGCTCGCCAGGCAGGCCCGTGCGGGGCTGGTGGGAAGAGAGCAGACTCCGTCTTCCATGTTAATCAGGCCATCCTTTGAGGAGATAATGGATAGGCTCATCAGTTTCCTATTGCCTAGATGAGTATGCATGAAGGGGAGGGAGATGGGAGGGGGTTTCCTCATCAGCACGCACAATGGTACTGTTGATCTCTTTGACAGAGCCATCTCCTCTTGGAGTCTCTGGTGCTCGGGGGGCTGAGGAACAGTACCAAGAGGCTGTTAGCATGCAAGGGAAGGTTGTGATGGCTGACAAGATGTGGTTTCCCTGGGGATAGCTGCTCCCTCTGGAGCGCTGTATGGTAGATAGAGGCCTGACTTGGAAGGTGGGACTGGGCTCCCTGCAAAAGAGGGAGGTTGTTGAGTGCTATGTACTGCCAGCAGCAGATGCCTCAGTGTGGCCTTGGGAGTCTGAAGTGCCAAAGAAGCAGGGGTAGGCAGGCCAGCCTTTCTGGATTCTGTTTTCCTTTCAGCCCACTTTCCCTTCCAGCTTCATTGCATGCAAAGTGGGCCAAATCTGACCCAAAGATCTGGAGAAATCTAGCTCTGCCACTTACTTGCCTTGTGATGTTGGACAGTGATCATTTCTAAAGGAGTGATGATAGTCTATTTCTTTGTTAGCTGTTTTGTGCCTGTGTATTATGCATGCATGCCTGTGTGTGTGCATGTGTTTGTGTGTGTGTGAGAGAGAGAGAGAGGATTAAAAGAACTAAGAAATACACGCGGATCAAATGCTAAGCCTGGGCTCAAGAGGTGCTCAGGGAAAGCTGATTGTCAGTCAAAAAGTCAAACCTGAACGTTTCCCATCACCACTTCCTGGTAATGGTAGCGAGCAATCATTCTTCGGGGTCTCCTGCGTTGCCTACGATGATGCTGAGGTCCTCGGGTGAAGAAAAGATAGTTGATGTAGACATACTCCAGCAAGGACAGGAACACAAAGAACAAGCATACAAGGATATAGATGTCAATGGCCTTGATACAAGAAATGTTGGGGAGTTTATCCCGCATATGTGAATCGATGGTAGTCAGGACGAGGATTGAAGTTAGGCCTACAAACAACAAAGCACAAGTTTTATCTCCTTTGGTGACTGAAGTTCATGGGAAGTCATTGGGCCCATATCCCACAGAAAGGGAGCAGGGGTCATCTCTTGGGTGGGGAGGGCCCTCAGCAAAGGTCTTCAGCATTCCAGGATTGAGGAATTTGCTAAAGTGCTCCCTTTGTTCTTTCTCCCACATCTTGAAGCCCAACCTATGCTTCAGAGTTCAATACATTCCCAGTGCTCTCAGGTTCGAGTGACAAATCTCTAGCCATGCCTTGGCAGTTGTTTATATCTCCAGCCCCACACTGCCCTATAATGGCCCTTTCTTCTTTAGCCTTTCAGTACATATGCCTTCCTTTAGTCACTGGGAAAGTTACATGAACCCTAACATAGTACACAAATACAAAGTTTTAGTTCAGGATGTGCTCCTATAGAGTAAGGCTGAAAAGTCTGTTCCAAAGATGATGAAGGAGAAACCACACTTAAATCTGGGACACTATTGCTTTTGGCTGTATAAGGCCAAACAAACAAGGCAGACAATCTCTTAGGCCCCATCTCCCACTCTGGTACTGCTAAAAAACCTTTTGTGGCTCCCCACACATGAAGTTACAGTCTTTTCAAGTCTTCCCAGGGTATTTTTCTGCTGATCTCATCATCTCTCCAGCTCTCTCTGCTCCTAACCACCCTGTTAATTTAGTTCCATTTTAGGGACTCCATGTCTTTAATTCAGCTATTTCTTCCTCTGGGAAATGCCAAGTCTTGTGTCACTGCCTCCTGTAAGTCCTCAGAACCCACTTTGGAACACATTTTATTGGAGAAGCTTTAGCCACCAAGACCTTGGTCACTTTCTCCACTGGACTCTGACTGCTTGCATCTCTGCATTCCACTAGACACTTGTCAAGGGCAGCTCTTCTGAAAGCCCTCTGTTGCTAAATAAGGCCTTTTGATATCTCACTTATTCAATGTTTATTGTCTTGCATGTCTAATCTAAATTGATGACTTGTCCATTTACTGACATATTCAAGAAATAATGAATTCTGGTACTTTGGGCCCAGCGTTCTAATATTCCAGCCCTGATTTTTCCCACACCTTTCTCCAATGTTGGTATTTCCACTGGGAATTGGCTGAGCATTGATTTCCTTGCCTGTGCAGTCATATACTGCTCCAGGTACTCCTTTATTACTCTCAGGATTTTTTTTTCTGGGATAAATGACTCAAGTTCCTCCCTAGGGTGTCAAGACCTACCAATTGTCACCCTAGCAGCAGAGGAATCATAGTTCATCCAAAATGATATCCAGGAGAGAATGGTTGTGAGGACAGTGGGCCAATAGACCTGTACAAGATAGCTGTTGACTTCCCTTTGCACCTGGAACTTCAGGATGAGGCGCATGTAGGAACCTGGAAGGAGACACACTGGTGTCAGGGAGGCAGGGCTGAGGGGATTTGCAAGGTGCAGAGGCACAGGATGGAGAAGTAGACAATGAAAGGGGACTGATGTGGAGGTTGCCCCATAGCATCCCATCCACAGGTCTCTAGCCTGAGCAGGCTGCAGATCTGGCTCTGTTTGTGTACTAGCAGACCAGTGACATGTCTCAGTAGGCTCGTGTGGCACAGCAAGTATGTTCTCTTCCCATTCTTTTCTCACTTGATCCATGATAGCTGAAGCTTTGAAATAGGAAAGACAGCAAACGTTTCCAAGCTGCAAATTGCTGGGGTGTGAGAGGCCAGCTCTGATAGGAGCATGAGTCCTTTATACCTATAGAGTATTGTAAACCTGGCCTAGTGCTTCCACATCTGTTCCTTAATTGAAAGAGACTGGACTTTATCAAGGGGACTTGGAAGGTGTACATAACCAGAGGGGAATGGGAAAGGAGGCAACAAAGAGGGTAGCAGTCAAAGATAGAGGCCCCTAGGAGTTTATGGTGGTACAAAAGGGACAATAGGAAGGAGAGAAGGAAGGGGTCAGACCAACCTGTATAGAAATACACTTCTTTGCTAGTAATAGTCCTTCCTATGAAACTGAACTGAGGGATTTTCAGCTCTTCAGTCATGTAGATGGCATTCTCATTGTCTTCCCAGGATAATATGACATCTTCAACTGTGTAGCCATCTGGGAAGGGGAGAGAAACAGAGAGTCTCAGAAAATCAGGTAGATTTTATACAAGAGCAGTCTGAAACCAATGTATGATTGGAACTTGTAATTTCCGGAACTCCTTTATAGCTTTCCAAGTCTGGTCAAAGAGGAGAAGGGGCATTTGAAATGAAAACTCTCACTTTGGAGTTACTTAACCAGGAAGGCAAGTGCAGCTGTGAGCTTCTACCCACTAGCTTGTGACCAATTTCTCAATGGCAAGGTACCATTTCCCAATAGAACTACTTGTACCCCAAAGGCCACCTGCTTCCTGATTATCTATCTATCTGAAAGATTATAGGTGGAAGGAGGGAGTAGAGGAGATATACTCTTCCTCTCACTGTCAATTCTGCTTTTGGTTTCTGGATCACCACAAGCCCTAGGCAGGAAAGAAGGGGCTCTGAGGGAAATACATACAGCTCTCCACCTCCAGCTTGCAGGCTTGCTTGTCCATCGGGAATTTACGCAGATCCATGGAACAGGCTGCTGTAGTAGTGAGCCTGCAAAGGAAAAGGAAATGAAAAGTGAATGTAGCCTGGATGAGCAACAATTCCTGAAAAAAATGGGAATAGTTACCTCAAGGATTGATCTACATATGGGGAGGAAAGACGGAATTGGAATGTGATAAGGAAACCAAGAGTTCTGGCAAGATTGAGACAAAGAACAGATATATGGTCTGTCAGAATGGGAAGGGCTCTTGAGAAAACCAAATTCAGTGACAGAAGCAAATGGTGTGCTACACTGAAGTCTCCAGATCAAAACATGCATTTGCATAAATGCCAGATATGCAGGTCTCTGGGGAAACTGAGGGAGAACAAAAAGCCAGTGGATTCCAGATGGATGGGAGAGATTAACAGATCCATGGTGGGCTGTATGTTGCATCCATATGAGGAGTCCAAAGAGGGGTCTTGAAGGAGCAGAGGAAGTAGAAGTGGGAAAGAGGATAACTATCATAGCTCTTTACTTCTTCAGCTGGGAGGCTCTGTCTCACCCTTCAGCCTGCTTGTCCCATCTGCTAACCATAGCCTAGTACCTGTCCATTACTGAAGCAATTTTTATTTTATACACTGAATAGGTGTGTGTTTGTGTGTGTGTGTGTGTGAGGATGTTTCTCTCCCTTCTCTGAATCCTCCATGACACATTAATCAGTTAATGCCCCTTTTTAAATTTTTTTTAAAGATTTATTTATTTATTTAAAAGTCAGAGTTACACACACACACACACACACAGACAGGGAGAGAGAGAGAGAGAGAGAAAGAGAGAGGTCTTCCATCTGCTGATTCACTCCCCAACTGGCCGCAATGGCTGGAGCTGTGCCGATCTGAAGCCAGGAGCCAGGAGCTTCTTCCGGGTTTCCCACTCGGGTGCAGGGACCCAAAGACTTGGGCCATCTTCTACTGCTTTCCCAGGCCACAGCAGAGAGCTGGGTCGGAAGTGGAGCAGCTGAGTCTCAAACTGGCTCCCATATGGGATGCCAGCGCTTCAGGCCAGGGTGTTAACCCACTGTGCCACAGCATTGGCCCCAGTTAATGCCCCTTTTAAATGAAACAAACATGACAAGTGACATGCTCCCTGCAAGCTTTGTTATTCTCTGACTCCAGAGTCTTGCCTTAATGGGAAAATGGGCTGAGAGAAGAAGAGAGAAAGGAAAGAACTGAGCAAGAGCACCAACACAGAAAAGAACAATTAGGGCTGTACAATTCAGAGCTGAATGGCTGGCGCTGCGGCTCACTAGGCTAATCCTCTGCCTGTGGTGCTGGTACCCCGGGTTCTAATCCTGGTTGGGGCGCCGGATTCTGTCCCGGTTGCTCCTCTTCCAGTCCAGCTCTCTGCTGTGGCCCGGGAAGGCATTGGAGGATGGCCCAGGTGCTTGGGTCCTGCACCCGCATGGGAGACCAGGAGGAAGCACCTGGCTCCTGGCTTTGGGCCGGCGCAGTGCCGGCTGTAGTGGCCATTTGGGGGATGAACCAATGGACCAACAGAAAGAAGACCTTTCTCTCTGTCTCTCTCTCTCACTGTCTAACTCTGTCTGTCAAAAAAAAAAAAAACAAACAATTCAGAGCTGAACCTTGGTAAGTACATCTCAGAGATGTGATCAGAGTTAAACTTATGTCGCAGGCTTATCTCTAGAGATGCTCTGTAAGTGATGACACTAGAGGAGAGCATTGGTGACTGCTATGAGTTCTCTATGTATAAAAAGCCACAGACCTGCAACACACACACCCTGCTTCACCCCGCTCTCCTATTTACTGGCTTGCTTGCATGAGTGTAAATGACCAAGGGCAGAGATTGAGGCAGGGTCCATGTGTCTTCCTCCCTCACTTCATGAAAGAGATAAGACATGGAGCTGAAGAACAGATGAACACAATGATAAAGGCGGGGAGAGGTCTTTCAGTCAAGGGAATAAGAAAATTTCTTGACCAAAAGGGCATTTGAGTTAGGGATTAAAGGGTGGGCAGGGTTTCAATTCATGGAAAGCAGGGAAAGGGCCACCTTAGACAGAATGAATAGCAGAATCAAAGGCATAGGAACATGACAGCCAAGGGTATCTGTAGGAAATTTGTAAAGTAAGGTGAGGGGCTGCTCTGTGTTTCCCTTAGAACGTGTTTGTGGGGTACTTGTTAAGAAGAAGGAAGTCAGCCAGGAGAGCCCAAGGATCCTAAGGGGACTCACCGGATGCCATACTGCACTGTTCCATCTGGGTGAAGCTGAAATACTCGATTTTCCACAGTCACATCATGCACGAAAGCATCCTTGCTATTCAGAAAGTAGCAGTCAGGGACCCAAAATTTCTCATGCATCCGATAGTCTAGGGTCAGGTTCAGATTGGTCTCATAGTATGCTAAGCGTGAATCCTTCCAGGCCTGATGAAAAAACATTGTGATTGTATAGTCCTGGGGAGAGAAAGGTAAATCCCATTTGTAAATTATGTTGTCCAGTTCTCTCTCTCTCTCGTGTGTGTGTGTGTGTGTGTGTGTACATGTGTAAGCATATGGAATATATCATAAATATAGATGAGTGTATGAAATATATACATGCTGAAAAGAAAAATAAAATGAACTTCATGTAATTAAAATCTAGGTTAAGAAACAGATTACAGATAATTTTCAGTTGTCATGTGTTCCTTCCAGAACATATATCTCTCCCCATAGCAATAACCATTATCCTAGATTTTATTATAATAATTCCTTTGCATTTTTACAATTTTATCATCTACATATACATTTCTAGAAAGCATATTGCTTAGTTGGATCTATTTTTTGAGTTTATCTGCATGGAATCATACTGTATTTATCTATAATTTTCTTTCACTCAACACTGTATTAGTGAGATTCATTTAGATTGTGTAATGATAATTTGTTCACTTGCATTGGTGGATAACAGTCTAATATAAGAGTATGTCATGCATATTATCATGCGAATGCACCATACATACCACAACCTTGATGAAGTAAAAATGACAAGGTTTTAAGAGTGTCAATTTGTTAAGTCAACAACAGGAGTCACTGTGCACTTACTCCTCATGTAGGATCTCTGTCCTTAATGTGCTGTACATTGTGATTTAATGCTATAACTAGTACTTAAACAGTATTTTTCACTTTGTGTTTCTGTGTGGGTGCAAACTGTTGAAATCTTTACTTAATATATACTAAACTGATCTTCTGTATATAAAGAGAATTGAAAATGAATCTTGATGTGAATGGAAGGGGAGAGAGAGTGGGGGGTGGGAGGGAAGTTACTGGGGGGAAGCCATTGTAATCCATAAGCTGTACTTTGGAAATTATATTCATTAAATAAAAGTTAAAAAAATGACAAGGTTTTAAGAGCCAAGAGCAGGTGAGGGTTCCTAGCACTTCTGACCTGCCAACACTGGAATTGTCTGACTTTTGATTTTTGCCAATCTGGTTAGTAGTAACAGGTTCTCACTGTGCTTTTATTTTGCTTTTCACTGATTACTAACAAGATCAAGCATCTTTTCATATGTTTACTTGCTATTTAGTCTTCTTTACAAAAGTTGTATTCCTGTTCACATTTTACAATGATTTTTCTGTTTGTTTTTAAAAATATTCTTCTTATTAATTCATAGGAATTATATAAATACTATCAGTGCTTTGTGCTGTAAATATCTTAGTGTACTATGACTTACTGTTTCACACTTGTTATAGTGGTTTTGTTCGTTTTGCAAAACAGAAGTTCCAGAGTTTTGCTAAGCAGAATTTTAACATAGCTGAAGTAACTAGTACTAATTTTTATGATTTGTGATTTCTATGTCCTTTTAAAGAAACCCTACATACTTCAAGACACAAATACAGTATCCTATACTATCTTAAAAGCTTCATAAGCCTTTCACCTTTAAGTCTATAATCCGCCCGGAACTGAATTTCTTAATATGATCTGAAGGTTCAATTGATTTTATTTTTTCTTATTCCTGAGAGGTTGTAGTTTGCAAAACCTATCCTGTTACTCTGTGTGAGTTCTGTTACAGGTTCGAACAAGTAGAGATGATTTATGACCCCGTTCCTTGTACCATGTCCTCTGTCCCCGCCCCATGGCTAGAACTGACACACCTACCATGTTTATTTCTGAGATCTGTTCAATGCTGGAGACATAGATAGATATTCTGACGGGCACAGGGTCACCTATAATACAAGAAGACACTATTACATTAAGGAAAAGAAGAAGGTTAAGAGCACAGACTCTGGGTCCAGACTTCCTGGGTTTGAACCTGTTTTGACACTTGCTAGTTGTGTGATCTTGACTAAGTTACCCAACCTCTCTGAGCCTTAGGTTCCTCATGGGAAAAATTGGGATAATAATAGCACTGATCTCATGGTTAATGCAGGTCAAGTACTCAAGGGCCCATAATATGCTAAAAGGAAGGGATCAGGGCAAAATAAAAAGAAAATAAGGGGATGAAGCACATTTTTCTGTTTCCTGACAAAAACTGGAAAGGAATGATCCCACAAAAACCCAGATTCATGATGGAGTGGTTGAATGTTTGTGTGAGGATGTGAGTGAACGTGTGAGCATGTTCGTGCAAGTTCATATGAGTGTGTGTGTGAATGACTCTATGAACTGTACATGTGAGTGTATGAGCATGTTCATGTGTACACAAGAATTTGTGAATGTTAATGCACAGGTGAATTTCAGTGTATGTGAGCATGTTTGTGTGACCAAATGTGTTGTATGGAACTAAATGTTTGTGTATACATGGGTGTAGGTATGCTGCAGTGTGGAAGTGAGTGTGTGAGTGTGTTCAAGTGCAACACATGAGGATGTCAAGTGTGAGAGAGTGAATGTGTGACTATATGTGAGTGTATGTCCATGTACAAGTGAGCAAATGTGTGTTTTTGAGTTTGTCTCTATATATGAATATGTGAATGCATGTGTATGTGAGCATATCTCTGCATGTGAGTGAATTTTTATATTTTCACATGTGAATGAATACATGGACATGCTTGTGTGTTTCACTATGTTCTATGGGAGTAAATGTGCAAGCACATCCTCAATTTTGAGCTGGTTGAAAGGACAACTGCTCAGGGCACAAAGAATGTACTCAAGTAGAAGAGCATGTGTCCTCCCTAGAGATGGAGCAGACATGGCTGAGAAGCATAGTACGCCATGTCCTGCACACTCCTTTCTGTGCTTAGTCCTTCTCAGCCACAACCAGCGAAGAGGTTTTGCAGAGGGCAGAAGCACTCTTGCACATGAAGGCAGAGAAGTGGTTTGAAATTCCAGGGGTAGAGCAGGGTGAGGATTGGGAGCCTTGCAGTCTTGGCAGGGTCCACAAGGTGTGATGTGGAGGACAGTAGTACAAAGTCTGAGGAGTGCCACAGATCAGTGTACAGGGTGTGGCTAGTTCACCGTGTCTAGCTCTTTTCCACCTAACACAAAGGCCTCTAGTGTCCAGATGTGGCTTACCTCCAAAATTTGGTCTCAGACGGACATCGTATTTCGACAGCACCCTGTCCAAAATCTTTTGAACCACAGCTTCATTTGCACAATTTTTGCTGAAATACAGAAGTCATCAGTAAATGCTGCTTGACATGTGGCCAATTTTCTGGTGGTCCACTTGCAAGGGTCTTACCCTTAGCACATATGTAGACATGTCCAGTCATATGTGTACACACTCTCTCCCCTCTTCACCCTTCCCCATGGTGAGTCAGCCAGAAGCGCAGCAATGACGCAGGCTTCTCTTCCCCTCCCCCTTGCCAGCTCTTATCCAGAGGGTGGGGCACAAAGGCTGGATCCCTGTTACTAGGCAAGATTGGGGTGGAGGAGGAGGGGAGGTGGTAGGGAAGGGGCAAGTTATAGCCCTCAGAAAATTGCATTGCTTCAATAACTTAAGGAGCCCCACCTTGAGATAAGCCTGGGCACTATTTCTAGTTTGGGGAAGGGGGTCCTCCTAACAGGGGTATCTGATCGCCCCAGGGAAAAGCCATCTTCCACTCTCACTACCCTCCTGGGCTGAGCCAATGTTCTCCAGCTCAAAGTCACATTTCCTCTACCTGAGCTGTGCATTTTGTTGTCACATTTATGTCAACCTTGATTTTGAATATCTTTGCTTTTAAGATTTGGCATATGGTGTATGACACAGAGACACACTCTTGTTCATGTAGCAGAGATTTATGACCCTCCTGATTCAAGTCATTTCAGAGTCTTGGGGCTTATAGCTGTCTTCAAAAAGACATCTTTTCCGGGAGCAGGCATTTCTCTTACTAAGTAAGCATGTGTTTCCAGCCTGGAAATGTCTTGGGTGATCACATGTAAGTGGACCCAGGTCAGTTGTGCAGAGAGCTGACTTTTCTAGTGGTCTCTGATCTGTTCACTCAATTCTCCTAGACCTTCAGTGGCGCTCTTCCCCCCAAAAGGGTGTGTAAATGAGAGCAGGCTGTTAGCATCATTGTGACTCCTGAGATCTTTGACGCATTGCCCAGGAATATCAGTCCCTGGAAACCTGTGTGTGTGTGTGTGTGTGTGTGTGTTCATTGTCGTAGTCTTTATGTTGGGTTGAAGCCATTGCAGAGCTGTCTACTGGAACCTTCCAAGGACTCCCTCCTTTATATGCATACATGTTGATTTCTGATTTTACATTTAAAAATTATTCCTGATGATTTTAATCCCACGATTTCATTTTCAAACATTCTAAAACACACACACACAAATTATTCCTAAATTAAATAGATGAATTCCCGCCTATTTCTGATCACACATTCCCCATGTGCCAGCACTCAGGATTTGTAATAATCTCAAATACACATTTCTACATGTATGAAAAGGCTGACTGTTTAAATTCTTCCAGATAATCACAGACCCAAAAAACTTGAAATCAAACAATACAAATATTTGAATCTTCAAATATTTTCAGAGGAGTAAATACAAAAGTGTACCCATCCCAGGTTATAGGGTTATACAGCCACCGACCACACTGTATGGGCTCTGATTAGGTTGAGTTAATAATAATTTCTATCTGCCGCATTGGAAAGTCTCACCCCTCAACACAGTCAGGCACATACGCGTGCGCGAGCCTTCGGGAACAGACTAAAATCCGGACTCAAACAGGTGTCTCTCCTGTATCTGTTTTGTGAATTGACCATCACTTTCTATCCTCTCCCCCACCTAATCTCACGTTACAGGGAAAACTGCCGCGGACCTTAGTCCTCGGGGATGTCATATACTGGGGTGAGTCCCCTCAACGCCCCTCACCCACTCAGCCACTGCAGTTCGACCATAAGTGGGGCACAGTCGGGCGCTGCAGTTACAGGTGGGCTGAAGCACAAAGCTGTATCTCAACTGGCTGTCCCCAATCCCACTCCATCCCCTCTGAGGGCAAGCAGACAGGGGTCATGAGCTTGGGTTCGGTAAGCCCGGGTCCGAGTCCCGCTGCCCCACAGGTCCACTCTCTCCAACAGGCTAGAGGCCGTCTTCCCGCCCCCACTCCCGCCATTCCTGTTCTGGCTTACCAATCGAAGAGGTCCAGGACGACTTGGGGCATGGTGGAGGGGAGCTCGAAGTGGGATTTCGGCATGGGGTTGGGGCCGTTGCTCTCCGCAAGCCAGGTCTTGATGAGCAGTAGGAGCACAGCGGCCCGCAGCATGCCTCGGATACCCATGGCTGCGGTTCTCTAGGGGCCGGAGGGCGTGGGAGACAGCTGCGGACAGCTGGGAAAAGGCACTAAGTTGGGTGGGAAGCGGTGAGTGAGGGGCGAGGGGGAGGATGGCTAGCTTTTCAGCAAAAAGTCGTCTCAAAGCAGACAGCAGCGAGGGCACAAAGAACCCGAAGCTTAGAACCTGGGAGAAGCAGCCACACAACAGCTCTACCCAAAGCAGCGGTCCCCCGGGACGCGCCCGGCAGCTGCGAGGTGCGCTCGGTCAGCCGCCGCTCTTGGCTGCGACTGGGCACTGAGGCGGACGCGCGGCTGGCTCCGCCCACTCCGACGACAGCACTGGTCAAGCCAATCGAGTAAGTGCCAGGAGCCACACAAAAAGGCGCGCGCTCCAGTCTCCGCCCGCAGTCCGCGCGCCGCCTGGCCCTCCGCCCCTTCAGGTTTCTGCAGTCGTCGCCTGGCCAGCTCTTGCCACAGACAGGGGCGGGGCCGAATGGGGCGGGCCAGGGAGACGGAGGGGACTGACTGCCAGAGGCCAAGGGCTGCAGTCAGGGACACCTGGTCCTATGTCCCTTATCTGCAAAAGGCAAAATGTACACTTCTCTTGGAAGAACTTGTGCCCAAGAGTCATGTTTTGTGGTAAAAGGAGTACGGTCACTTGACTGCCATGGTTGGAAGATCCACACATTTTTGGAGACCAAGAGGTACTCAACTGCTGTTTATTACCAGACTCTTGAGCTTGCAGTAACCCCAGCGCCTGTGGGTGGGGAGGAGGGGAATCAGGATGGAAATTGGGCTCCTGAAGCCCAAGGGTTACTTGAATACTTAAATTCCCCAGAGTATTATTTCCAAGTATGAGTTCGCACGGAAAAACCCAGGAAACTGGGAGTATTCATAAGCTAGAGTCTCCCTGTGATGTGACTCTGTGCTATGACCAGGGAATGCAGTGTTGAAGTGAGCATCCATAGAGATGCCATTAAAGGGAAAAAGCAGGCAAACCTCAATTTCTTCTGTCCTTTTAATCTCTGGTCTATGACAAGTTCAAAGGAAGTCTCATTAGAGCTCCTGGGGCCAGATAGGTAATCATCAAATACAATTGACTCATGTTCACCAGCACTGCACCTCCCAAATCCTACCTGTAAGAAGAATTGTAATCAAAATGGATTTCAGATAGACTCCTTGTGTACCAAAAAATAATAAGGTCATTGTAGGTCATGGGACCCAACTACATGGATTGTAGTGTGGTGAAACTGAGATCCATTGAAGAAAAAATAATTGGTACAAGGTCACATAGTAGCAGTGGCCAAAACCAGAAGCTATTTGTGTGTTTTCTTACTTCCAGAATAGTGTTTTCAGTGAAGTTCAGGCAACCACCAGCAGGTGGGAGTAGATTTGTTTGGATGTGGGATGTTCCCAGCACTGAGGAATGAAACTACATAGGCAATTGGTCCAGCTTCTCATTTATCACGGAAAACAAGCCTGAAGCCTGAAGTTTTGTTCCTAGGTGCTCTTCTGACTATGACGATTGCCAAAAAGCTGGTGGTGATGTTGAATTTGCTTTCAGAACATACATTCCAGAGAATTGCCACCCCCAGTTCTCTCCCTAGAGGTTAACACTTCATTGAAATTTCTGACTCTCAAGACAAAAATGGCACAAAAATGCAAAAAAATCACAAATACTATAATTTATATTTTAAGGTTTTGTCCAATGAATTTATTAGAATATCTATAAAAATCCAGATAGGATGAACTTAAATCAGCATATGGGATCATGATGTGGGGAAAGAACACTGCCACACAACAGAGAAAGTTTCAGTTTTGCTGGAGGGTAGGGTAAGTGTAGAGGTAAGGCAAGAAATGAGAGGGTAAAAGGTAAAAGATCAGGCAGAACCTGGCAGAGTGAGCACCACACAGTGCACAATAAAAATGTGTGTAATGAATAAATGAGGCAAGAAAGAGTTTGGCATCTAATTGTCCAAAACAAGTAATTGGATTTTTATTATTAATATACATATTGTATATATAAATTTTATTTAAGTTCTACAAATTTCATGTATTTCATATATTCAGATTCAGGAATGTAGTGATACGTTCTACCCTACCCTCCCTCCTGCTCATGCTCCTGCCCTTCTTACAGGAATTTGATTTTTATTATAGGCTTAACATTAAACTTTTGAAACATTTGTGCAAGATAATCACATAATCAGAGTAGCACCTCAGAAGGATATTTTGGTTATTTTGTGAAGGAGAAATTGGGAGGAAGACAGATTAGGGGTAAGGAGAGAAGTTAAGAGCATATTGCACACCTATGCTTCTAGTAATGGCAGGATAGGTTATTTGGACTAGCTGTCTCAATGAAGACAACCAAGTAAACTACATGAAACATAGAAAGAAAAATCATCATTTTGAGCTAAGAGATAATGAGGCTAAAATCTAGAAGAAGACAAGAACCAATATTAGTGTCAGAAAGACCAGTACTAGAAGCAACTTTTACTCTGAGGGAATTCACTCAATTTTGGAGAAAGAGTTGTGAAACTGAGCCATTCTTTTGGTTGTATCATGGACAACAGGGACAAAAGTAAAAGCTCAAGGTCCAAACAAGTAAGGGATTTAATAAGCCATCCTGTCACTTTCAACTGAGACCTGGAGTGGTTACTGCTTTGGCATAATTGTGACCCAGACGTAACCAGCTTTGCAGTCTAGGTGCTTATTACTTGAGTAGTGCAAGGAACCTGAAGATCTGACCTTGGATTAAAGTAGACTTGGACAAGTATTGTCCCCAGGCATTTGAAAATACCCCAGCAAATGAAATGACTTTCTGAAAGGAGGTGTTATCTTGGGCCTAGAATCATTAGCACAAATGATTTTTTATTAACAGGGTAGTGTATAGTCAAAGATAACTCATCATAAAGGGAAAATGCACTGTGATAAAAAGGAACAGACAGCAAAAAAAAAAAAAAAAAACCCTTCAAAGACTTCAGGTATAAGGATTGTGTGACACAGACTGAAGTAACTATGGTTTACTATATTCCAAAAAGAGGATAAGCTTGAACATTTCTGCAGGCAATAGAAAATCATAAAAAAATACAGTCAGCCTGTAAAAGAAATGAGAGGGTCTACAACTAGAAACTATAAAAGTGAAAATTCAGAATTTAATAGATGTATTTAGCACAAAGCTAAAAACAGCTAAAAGGAGAAGCACTGAACTGGAAGATAGATTTCAAGAAATTATCCCAAGTTCTTCCTAGAGAGATAAATTATTTGGAGAAATTAAAAAGGAAGGATGAGATGCACACTGAGCAGAAAGAGAAGATTAGCTACACATTTCCTTGAAGTTTCCAAAGGAGAGGAGAAAAACATTAGGAAGAAGATGGCTGAAAATTTGAATTCACAGATCAAAAGATCAATGAATCATAGTCAAGATAAATAAATAGAAAACTACTCCTAGATTTGCAACAGTGAAAGTGCAGAAAATATTCTTTTTTAAAAGATTTATTTATTTTTATTTGAAAGGCAGAATTACAGAGAGCAGAGGCAGAGAGAGAGAGAGAGAGAGAGGGAGAGGGCATTGCAGGTGGCGGCCATACCTGCTATGCCACAGCACCAGACCTAAAAATATTCTTGAAATTCTATCTATGAACTACATGGAATCTCTTCTATTTGTGTTAATATCATATTTTTTTTTGACAGGCAGAGTGGACAGTGAGAGAGAGAGAGACAGAGAGAAAGGTCTTCCTTTGCCGTTGGTTCACCCTCCAATGGCCGCCACGGCCAGCGCGATGCGGCCGGCGCACCGCGCTGATCCGATGGCAGGAGCCAGGAGCCAGGTGCTTTTCCTGGTCTCCCATGGGGTGCAGGGCCCAAGCACCTGGGCCATCCTCCACTGCACTCCCTGGCCACAGCAGAGGGCTGGCCTGGAAGAGGGGCAACCGGGACAGAATCCGGCGCCCCGACCGGGACTAGAACCCAGTGTGCCGGCGCCGCTAGGCGGAGGATTAGCCTAGTGAGCCGCGGCGCCGGCGTGTTAATATCATATTAATACAATTGATGAAAATTGTGTTGTAGTAAAGATGTACTTGCTGTGACCATGAAAATCTAATGTATTAATAAATTTCTTAAAAATAAAAAATAATTAACAAAATATATCTATGCTAATGGTGCAATTACAGATAGTGAGATCCTGATCTAGGGCAGAAGCAGGAGAGTTTGGGACTAACTAATAGGAGATAGACCCTGGATTTTTGAAGGCTTTTACTTGATTTAAGCATGAAAGATGATTTTATAAGGATATTATCTATTTCATTACTAGTTGAGAAAATGTATTTATTTAAATATACTTGTTAGAGCAATCTAACATCTAGGAACCCTTCTCAGTTGTGTTTGGAAGGCCATTGTCCTGTAAGTATGTGCCCCTCATCTCATGACTCACCAAAGAGAGAGTATCCTCCGAATGTGAAATGCTAGTTCCAACTGAGGTCTAATGCTAGATAAAAGTGTGTTTATATGGGATTCTAAGAGAAAATAGAAGAAAAGGAATATTTGTAGAAAAATCTCCTTCTGCTTACCAACTTTCTCGGCTTTCACTCTGTTTCTAATGAAAACTAGATAAAATGAAAAATTCTGTGGTGCTCTGAGTGTCTTGCTACATCTTAAGGCTTGTCATGTGCACTCACTGGGATACCTAATGCTAGACTGGAGTAAAGTTCCTGCAGAAGCTTATATTTGTAACAAAGAGAGCTAAAAATGTAATACACTTTTTTATTTTTGTAGAGGAAAGGGTTTATTGGTGGGGAAACCCTACAGACTGGAGGGAAGGGGCAAAGAAGGAAAAGAGGAAGAAGGAGAGCATAAGAGAGAGATCAAGAGAGAGGGAGGGAGAGAAAGAGCAAGAGACATAGAGAGCCACATGTTCAGGAACAGGTCCTCTTAAAACTTTGCCAGGGGTACAGGCAGGGCAGTAGGAACAGCGAATACCATTAGGATGGGGGTGGAGCTGACACAGCTGGTTGGGCAGTGGGGTCACCTGGCTTCCAGCCATGGAGTCGAGGGCTAGAGTCTAGGATGAATACACTGTCTTGAGACAGAGTGAGATTTTACAAGAGTTGCTTATATAAAGACTGAATGAATGGTTTACTGTCAGGGATGGAATAGAGGGAATTCTGCTCCAATGGGAAGTTGCGTCAGAGTGTCTATGTTTTGTTCAAAATCCTTCATGCGTTTGTTCCATTTGAAAGATGAACATTCTTATTTATCACTAAGCCTTTCTCCAAGAAAGGATATTTG